CACCAGCCTCACCCACCCACCCACCCTGTCACACCCACCCCCCCGCCCACAAAGCCACAGCAACACACACACACCCACACAACCACACACACAACCACACACACACACACACACACACACACACACACACACACACACACACACACGCAGGTGAAACACTCATGCACATAAAATGAAAATAAAGTGTTTCAGCTAGGCCTGGTGGCACGAGCCTTTAATCCCAAAATTTGGGAGGCAGAGGCAGGTGGATCTCTGTGAGTTCAAGTCCAGCATTGTCTACATACTGAATTTCAGGTTATCAAGGACTACATAGAGAAACCTTGTCTTGAGGGGGAAAAAAACCACTTACTCTGTGGTTCTTTGTTATGGAAGCCTGTTGTAGTTCTTTTGTGCTGTTAGAATTACTTATGACTAAGTAATTCATAAATAATTATGAATTTTATTCTCTTATGTTCTCAGGCACCAGGCATGTACATAGTATGCATATATAAATGCAGTCCAAATACCCATACACATAAAAGAAATATATTTTAAAAATTAAAAAAATATTTATATGTGTGGGTGTTTTGCCTTCATGTATATTAGTGTACCATATGTGTGCAGTGTCCTCACAAGTCAGAAGAGAGTGTCTGATCCCTTGAGACTGGAGTTACAGAAAGTTGGGAGTCACCATGTGGTGACTGGGATTTGAACTCTGGTCCTCTGGAAGAGCAACCAGTGCTGTCAACTACTGAGCCACCTATTCAGCACTCAATAAGTAATTAATTTTCTGTTGTTATTATTTGTTCTTTGTTTTTTGAGACAAGGTTTCTCTGTGTAGCCCTGGCTGTCCTGGAACTCACTCTGTAGACCAGGCTAGCCTCAAACTCAGAGATCCTCCTGCCTCTGCCTTCCTAGTGTTGGGATTAAAGCATGTGCCAACACACCCAGCATCAGTAATCAAGTTTTTAAAAATGAATTATTATTCAGCCATCAAAATAAATTAAGTACTTGTGGGTTATACTATAAGTGAATCTTTTTTTTATGAGTGAATCTTGAAATCCTTGTATTAAAGAAACTAGACGTAAAAGACTATATACTACATGATTCTATTTGTTTGTTTTCATTTAAATTTTTTTTTATGTCTACGGGTGTTTTTTGTGTATGTGCACGCATACAGTGCCCACAAAGGCCAGAAGAGACATCAAATCCCTGGCTTTTTAAAAAAAGATTTATTTGTTTTTCTTTTGTATGTATGAGTGTTTTGCCTGCATGCATGCATGTGAAGTGCCTGTGTGCCTGGTGCCCTGGAGGTCAGTAGAGGGCATCAGATCCCCTGCAACTGGAGATACAGGTGGTTATGAGCAGCCCTGTGGGTGCTGGGAATTGAAGCCAGGTCCTCTGCAAGAGCAGCAAGTGCTCTAAACTGATGAGCTCTCTCTCCAGCCCTGCATGATTTTTCTGTGTGAAATGTTCAGAACAGGCAGATCCATAGAGATTGAAAATATGTTGGCTGTTGCCAAGGGAACTTGGAACTTCCTGCCAGTAGTTGCAGAGTTTCTCTATGGAGTGATTGGAATGTTGTTGAACGAAGTAATCATGTTAAAAATATGGCCCTCTGGTTAAGAGCGTATACTGTTCCTCCATAGGCCCTAAGTTCAGTTCCCAACACCCCTGTCAGATGGCTCACAACCACCTGTAACTCACGCACCAGAGGGATCCAGCCTCTGCAGCAGACACCTGCACTCACAAGCACACACAATACCCCTGCCACACACACATAATTAAAATAAAAATAACATCTTAAAAAAGAAAAAATCTCTGAACCTTGAACTCTATTTCTGTGTTCCAGGACAGGCTCCAAAGCTATACAGAGAAACCCTGTCTCAAAAAACAAACAAACAAAACCAAAACAAAACAAAAAGAAATAAAAGCTTGAAAATTAACCTGAAATTAGTATTACATCTAAATGTGAATGCCAAAA